TGGGGTAGTATGCAGTATTGCCCCTTATTCAAGCCTTGGTTTAGACAAGTTATTCCTCATGTATATGGTCAGTCCTTGTAGGTATCATCCGAAGCACAAACTACTAGAACCAGGTACCAATCCAACGTGTTTAACAAAATTTGATGCTAGATATTTCTCTCTACATAGCCTAATTGACTCCATTTCTAAAACTTAAGCCCACACTAGAATAGGATTCATGCTGCCATTAATTCCTTTAAAAAAATCACACATACAAATAAGCAATATGACAAGTGGCCATGCCTGTCTTATGGTCATAAATCTGCAACTGCCTGAAGTCAACCCTCTAGGCATACTAATCAAGTTCATTTTCAATGTGATTACAGCATTCCTTCCCCATTTCCCCATCTCTTGCCAAATTAAACTACTGGCTGTTCCTCAGTTCCTCAAAGCATTTTATCATGTCTCTGTGCCTTTATTCAAACTCTGCTCTTATTCTTTTCCTTCTCTCTCACTAAACTTATTCCCAATAATTTCCTACTTATCCTTTACAGCCAAGGTGTATTGATTATCATTGTCTCCCTTTATTTAACTTTTCAAAGCAAGGATCATGTTCTGTTCAAGTTTTACTTTCTTCAAAAGCCTAGCACAGTGTCTGGTACATAATTGGTACTCAATAAATACTTTTTAAATTAATGCACATGTAAATGAGTGGATAGAAAGGTGTAAAAGTGTAAAACACTAGTTTTTTTTGTCTGGTTGGAAGGATGGACAGATGGATGAATAAATGATGTGAAGAACCATGCCATGAATGGTATTTCAGCATTGGAATCATTCTCTTGCATCCAGGAAACATGATCTGGAAGTAGCAATTCTGGATTTCTCTTGCACAGGGAGAATAAGGAGACAGCTTGCATCAGGACTGTCTTCAACACTGGAAACCAAGGATATTCATATCGTCCATGATGAAATCAGATCATTTCCAGGGGGTCCCTGGGCCATCCTCCCAAACAGAGAATTCATAAAGATTGTTAAAACCTGCAGATATATTTGATTCTTAGATGAAGAATTCAGTCTCCTAGTAGGAAAGAGACTTCTCAACCTTTGAAGGACATGCTGCACACCTCAGAATCTCACATGCTCTGGGGATCCATGTTCCCTCTTCTCTTCTGGAGTTTGGTTGCCACCTGAAATTTGTGAAAGGCCTACAACCTTCCATGGTCCAGGAGAAGGTATAAACAGATGTCAATGCTATTTACTAAAAGCTGACAACTCAAGAGTTGCAAAACACAAAAATAATGTTTCAAAAAGAAAGAGGGGTGAAAGTGGGATAGAAGGAAGGGTGAGATGAGAAAATGACAGGAAGGGCAATATTTTTTTTTTCTTATTCCATCTTGGAGACTGAGAGTGTATCCTTGGGAAGTACAGAGAAAAGTGAGAGATAGCTGGGTATTTATTCTAAATATGGACTATGAAAAGCTACAGTTAATTCACTGGAGGGAAGGTTTGTATCTGGACAGTTATATTTATAAGTGTTTTCTTAAGTGAAAAGTAGATAAGGTATTTAAATTTTTGAAGCAATTAATAATATGTGGTTTTCAAAAAGTAGCAAGGAATGAACCAGGTATAAATAAAGGCCTGTAGTTGATGGGCATTGAGAGTCTGCAGGTATTCTTTAAGGGAATCATCCTAAGAATACAAAAAGCCACAGTATCCTTTCAGAAATATCAAGAAATAACTGCTAAGAGACAAAGCAAGGACAGGCATGAAGGCTTAGAAGCAAAAGGAACAAACATCTATGAATTCAAAGCTCCCATCACCAGTAAATGGAACACTATAGAGAAAGCCAGATTAGATGTCTTGAGACCTTGAGTCCAAGCAGCCATCAGCTGCAGTGCGAGCTTCTCTAAGATACAGAGACAGCCCTTCTACCCTCCACTCCCTCAATAATCTATCCATCCAGTCTACATTTAGACACATAATGTTTCTGATGTAGTTGTGAACAGGGATAGCTCAAATTACTATACAAGTCAATGCACTCATACTTCTAGGAACAGTGGGTAGACAATCCAAGAAGTAGCTGGCTGGTAATTTTAAAATCCTTTCTGTATGGATTTAGACAGAAAATCCAAAATTACTAGCACCAGAAATGTCCTCGATGAAACCCACTATTCCAATTTTATAATGACCCTCAGAAGAGAGAAGGGACTCATTCTTAGTTGACACTTTGGAAAATACATCATTTTGATTTGACTGAAATTATATGAATACTTCAAAGTGATCAAAATGTCTATGCTAAACCAAAATCTTATGAATATAGAAGTCTATTGTTATTCACAAGGGCCACTCTGTATTGATGCTTTTCTTTTCTCCATTGTTTGAGTACAGGTGTGGTGTGGGCTGAATTTGTAGGTTAACAGTAAATTTGGGGAGGTGGAAATTAAGGGAGGAAGGCAGGGGATATGTTCAGCAAAATGCAAAATTTTGTTATTTCAAACGGTGGTTTAAAAAGGCAAACAGTTGGATTTTTACTGACATGGTACTTGAGCATAGCATATAATTTTCTTAATTACTAAAATAAGCTTCCAAACAGGATCTTGATAGTACTTTTTTAGTTTTAGGTGATCAAGAGTGCTTTCTGGTGATTCTCTGTCTGTAGAGCTATTACATGTTAGAGGGCATGCCAAATCACTCAGGATAAAAGTCACTTAGAAGTGCTATGAACAGCCTTCCCAGCTAAATTACTAGTGACTTAACTGTCATAATAACCCTCACATTTGTCTAGCACTTTGTCATTTATCGATAATGTTCACATTCACGTCATCTCTACTCACTGTAACAGTGAGGATGGCATCTCTAAATTACAGATGAGGACATTGAGGCTCAGAGGGGGCACACAGTAAATAATGGAGCTGGGCTTTTAACCTAGGTTTGTTTGACTCTAAAGGCAAGGCCATTTACACATCAAATATCCTTGTAGCATGTGGGTGTTGAATGAAGTTTGCCAGTCTTAAGTTCTAATGCCTAGCATTATGCTTTACACACAACAGACAACTAAGTAAATATCATGGGAATGGAACTAAAATGGAATCCAGCCACAGCACTTCTCAGTTTGTCTTCATGTGTTGACCACACCCATTCAAATTTGAGCACTCTACCCAACAAACCAATCTGGAAACTTACTGTACCACTCTCCAATAAAATAATTTATCAACTAATATATGACTGCTTTAGAGTATAGTGAAATTATATGTTATACACAGGCTCTTTTTCAAAATGTTTCACTGAAATCAAGCCACAAGACTCTCTTATGATGGAGGATATTGGCTAAGATGTAGTGTTATGTCTTAAGATTTGAGCCTGCATGTAATGAGGACTTTTGACCTGAATCAGCATAGGTTTGCAATTCCTATTAGTAGATGGCAAGCCACAGGTCTCTCTACCTGGAAGTCCATATGTCTTAGACATAATTCTCAGAAAGCCACATAATTGAGGGTTGAGTGTATCAGAATCTTTGCCCCGGACTTGCAACATTCACATGAAAAAAAAAAAAAAAACATTCTTTTTCTGATTCCTTGGTCACCTTTCCTGGCTTTCCCTCTGCACTCAGCACCCTAGTCCTGTGTCTTCCTCCCCACTACATATCAGAAATTCAGGGTTTCATTGGCAAACACCAAGCAAACAAAAACAAGGTTGGTTTAATATTTGAGTTTCATCTGATGTGGCTGCCTAGAAAGCCATTCGCAGGGCATCTGCCTGTCATGGCTGGGAGTACTAGATGTTACTTAAGAAGCTTCTGCTGAAAATGCCTGAGATGGAGCCTGGGTCAATTTGTTTGAGATACTTTTGTTGGCTTAAAGAATACTACTGGATGTGGGGAGGGAAGGATATAGTTATCTAAATGAAGAACTACACATGGCCCTGCTCCAGAGGTAGAAAACAAGTTGGTGTTTAAAAATGTGCACATTGACAGACAAGGCATTGAGCACCTCACAGAAAGCCAGAGAAGGACAATTGCTCTAAATTAGCCTTGTGAGGGAAGGAGGGAAGGCGGGAATCCAGGCACTTGGGTTTTCCAAGCTGATAATGAATAATCAGGTATGAGGCTGTACTTTTGGGCACTCAGAAATAAGCGTGCCTTTCTTTGAGCCGCATTTCTAAATCAAAGTAGACTAATGAGCTTGCTTTTCTTAAGAAAGATGCATCTTTTGGAGAACAGCAGGCAGCATGGAGGACCCTGGCATTGGGCAGATGTAAACATGAAGAAATGGAGAATTTGGAGAGGGAAAAGTGTCATTTAAGTGGTATTGAGCCATTCTGGAATAGTGACAGTGCCCATGGTAGACACAGGCTCAGGGGACAGAGAGCCTATGCTAGAGGGTCACGATAAAAGAGCTGTATCTTCCTTCTCTCAAGCTACTACACTACAGAAAAATATTTTTGGAAATGATCAATAGATTTATAAATAAAAGGAAATGATTAAAAGGCTATGATAGGAAATTGGCTCATTTGGCAGCCTAGTCACAGGCTCCAAAGGGAAGCAGCTTCTCATTCCAGGTGGCTGGCTCTATAACATAGGCAGCAGCAATTAGCTGAGGGATATTCCTAGGTGTTCAAGGCCAGTATGTGCCTGGGTCATCCTGCACCTGTGACTATTCTGGATTCCTTAGTTCCCTTGTCCTCACTACCATTGAACAGCATCAGGCTAGTACCATTATGTCCCCTGGGAACTCTGCCCAGTGAAGTCCATCTTCACTCATCTACTGTTGGCCCCTGATCACTGCTTCACACCTCCTTCTTCTATGCTGAATTCCAGAGTAGGGAGTGGAGTGGTTAAAGGTAAAGTAGTCACTAGCTGGCTGATGGCCACATTGGATATGAAAAGGTCAGCCTGCATCTAGAACATGGCTATTCCTCTTGGAAGCATCAAAGAAGAAAGTCTAATTTAGAAAGAGAACTAGAGAGTGAAGGAGGGGTAGGGTGGGAGAAGGAAAACAGAAAGAGGACAAAAAGAATCATACCTCCCAGAGTCATCCCTGCTTCATAGCATTTCCGGAGACGACAAGATGGACAATTTTTCCTTCGAAATTTATCAATGGTGCAATCATTTCTGCTGGCACACAGGTATTTCTGTTTTCCTGGGAGAACAAATACAAGAATAGCATATATATTAAGGAAATACACCAAGTATTTTCTAGGTAAAAAAGGCATGGAGGTATATACTACCTAAGAAGAGAAGTGAACAATGGTCCCAAACAATCTGATCACATAGAATTTAACAACTAAAAATAGGCAGGTTTTAATTTGGTGCTATACTATTTGGTTTTCATAGGTATTTTTTTGTGGAGTGAAATAATACAGGACCTGTTGATACTTCCATTATTAGTACTACCCAATGGTTTTTAAAATGAGATTCTCAATCTTTAATAAAAAGCCAGGAGTGCCCATAAGGAAATGATCATTCGTTTACCATGGTTCAACCAACATTTCCTCCCACTGACACCTGTAATCATTCATGGAATCATAGTTGAGTTAATAAGACACTTATTGTTTGTAATGCCAGTACAGGTAAAACTTCCATAAAATAGAACTCCATGGGATTCCTGTTTTTAAATTGCTCATGTTCATACTCCCAATCTTGCACATTATAAAAATATAACAGTTCAAGTCCACTCTTTGTGTAGTGAATCACAGCAAGCAAAAGGAAGTCCTCTGAAGTCAACATAAGAACCCAACAAGGATCCTTACTGTCTATATTATCTAGAGGAGAAAGAGAGTCTCAGAGATACTTGAGATAATAGTTACTCAAAGATTTGGTAGTTCACTCAAAAACATCTACTTTGTTCAATACTTAGTTTCTTTGCCTCCAGAACAAGCCTGGCACATAGTAGACATCTGACCAACATGGATGGACTGAATATCCCTCTGCATTTCTCTTTCTGTGTATTCAATAGTTATCAGTAGAGATAAACAAAAATACATTTTTGGCTACTCTGAAACCTGCAGAACTTTCCAGTTCCAAAGCACTAAGCCTGTGCATCCCTTTACAACACCCTTTCTTTGAGGAAGAGAAGTTAATTTTTCCTCATATTTTTTGCTGTGCTTTGGTTTACTGAATAGAATGGAATTTTAAAGAAGCTTCTTTTGGTAAAGAATTAGTATTTGTGCTAGTAAAAAGGAAGAAAAACTAAAGAGTGATTGTTACTTGATAGTAGGAAAGGAAAACATAGCCAAACATAAATTTAGGTACAGCTCATCTTTCTTTTCCCTTCACTAAGCCTAAAATGTGCAGATAAGGTGCTGAAATATATCTATTAGAGTAGGTTATTTTATGTAGCAGATTTAGTAGTAACCAGATCAGCAAAATAGTGCTTTTAAGGGCCACTTGTTAGAACCTGAAGTTAGCATTATAATAATAAAGAATTCTTTCTCCTTTTGAAAAAAAATTTTCTTGTTTCTTTCTTTTCCTTCTTCTTTCCCTCCTCCCTCTGTCAAAAATATATCCTCAGCTACTCTGAAACATGAAAAATTCTTCTATTCCCCAGGCCACAGAGCTTAAAGGTACCGTTAAAAATCACACCCATACAACCGTTTCATTCCAAGGATGAGTTTTGAGGAAGTGACTTGCTGAAGAAGCACATGAATCAGAGGTCCCTGAAAGAAGAAATTTTTGCTACATTGGGCACATAGCATAAACCATGTCTATGTGAGGAGTTTTGCTTATGTTAATAAAATAAATAATCTCAGCAGCACTTTAGGGTAAATATTATCATTACATTTATTTAGTAGGTGAGGAAACTAAGACCTCTAAGTCAGTACTCTTTCCCCTGTGTTTCTACTATTTCTATTTTATTTTTCTCATTTTCTTCATTTCCTAACCTCATTTTCTCAAGAACATGTTTTTATTGCTAAAGCAATATTAGTTACTTTACAAATAATATTGTGAGAAAATTATTGTACATATCTGTGCACATTTCTTTAGTACATTTCTTAAGTATAAATTCTTATATAAGGTGAATTACCAAGTCAAAGTATGCAAAGTCTAAGGTTCATAGTAAATTTTCTGATATCCTCTTTTTATGTTTGCAATCAGTGCATTATATTTATACATAGTAGACTGAAATGGATCAGGGAGAGGGAGGACAGAAGGAAAAGGGGAAGTGCTGGAGAATGAAATGGAGCAAATTATGTTATATGCATTCATAAATTTATCAAACAAGACAGTACTCTAACTGTTGTACCAAGGGATTTTATTTGTATAAACAGAGTACATAATTTGCTAATAGCATTTTTTTTCCTGCTGAAAACTGAGGACTACAATATGTTCACAGAAAGGATGAGTGCCATTCAATCTTTGGGTGTCAGCTCCTAGAAAGCAGGCCCTATATCCAATTCCAGTAGTTTCAGTTCCAGTGCTGTGGTGTGCTTGAAGTAGGACACTCTCACAGTACTGCTGCTGCTATGTTTCTCCAAAGTAGCTCATCACAATGATTACTGAAATAAGTTCAAGTTAGGAGAACTTGACTTCTTTGAGAAATTTCTTCTTCCAAAAGAAAATACTAGTTCCTGTACTGCAGTTTTCAAGGAGCATGGAATAACACTTCAGGAGGAGTTTTAGATTCTACTTCTGAAAGAAGATCACCCAACCTTAGGAATGAAGCAGGTTCCAGTTGGAAAAAAATAAATCTGGGTTTGTTCAGTTAGAAACTCAGACCATTTTTTTTACCTGTGGATCATAATTTTTCCAAGGATGCCTCTTGACTTGAAACAAGGTGACCTAAAATATAGACATTATTTTTGATTTACCTATGAATAAGTGAATGCCCAGTTTAACCAAAGAAATTGCATATTAATTTCGCATTCACAGAGTATTTATACATGCCAGGCATGGTATTCGTGCTGAAGTAACAGAAGAAAACATTTGCTGGATAAAAATATTCAACCCAGATTAGAACAATGGGTGAGAAGTCACAAGATCTAGATCTTTAATCATCCTTATCATTAACTCACCAAATGGCCTTGGACAAGTACTTTTCCCTCTCTGTTCCCCACTGATAATATGAAATGGGTTGAACTGGAAAATTATTAAAATATAAGCTAGGTCAGGAGTCTTGAAGAATGACTGAATTTCATCTATAATATATTTGCAGTCTTTCACTTGAAGGGCTTGAGTACTACATGTAAGCAAGAAATTATTCAAAATAATGGTCTCTTCTTTCTTCAATCTGTTCTTTTAGGATAATAACTGACTGTAACATTGTAGCTCACATATATAGTCATCTGGTCTCTACTCTTTGTTTTCCTAAGTGCTTCAAGGTGCTATAAAGAGGCACTGACATTGCAAGCCATATGCAATGATACACATAAACAACATATTTTGGGGCTGGGGATGTGGCTCAAGCGGTAGCGTGCTTGCCTGGCATGCACGGGGCGCAGGGTTCGATCCTCAGCACCATATAAAAATAAAACAAAGATGTTGTGTCCACCTAAAAAAAAAACTAAAAAAATAAATATTAAAAAAATATATTTTGCACAAATCTTTATTCATGCATATGCAAATGCACACCTGTGTGAATGTGAATATACACATATGCAAACTGTGTTCCTGAAATATATGTGAATACATACATATATGTTTGATTATGTAACAGTATGTAACACATTAAAACATACAGATGCACACATGTTACATATTCCTTTTGAAGCATAATAATGAATCTAATTTTTGAAATGACATTTAATAGTGACAAAGTGGTTGAAGATTGCAAAGCTATTTATGAAAGGTATCTCTTATCTGGAAGTTCTGAAAATTAGACCCTAACTCAAGTGCACTGTTGGGATAGGAGAGAGACAAGGGATGAGGCTGACAACTACTCAAGGTTCCTTTCAACCCACTTCTCCTATTGAATAATCACTTCACCAATGATGGCAGAACCAATGTAAAATCCCTGAGTTTCTATTACTTCCTACCTATTATTTATATATTTTCTATGTATTTGGCTGAAGCTTTCAGGGTTCTTAATAATAGAATTCTTCCCATTTGATTTATTTCCAAAGCTTACTACTAATCTAGTAAAAAGTAAGTATTGTAGGATGATTATACATCCTGTTCTGTGATAAAGAAAAGAAGAATCATTAAGATGAAATCGACTAGGACATCCAATATTATATTGACTAGAAGTAGTGAGCATGAGCATCTTTGTCTCATTGCTGATATTAATGATGTAAACTATGGGCTTGTCATATATGACCTTTATTTTGGATTGAATCTCATTGCTCCCATACCTAACTTGTTGAGAGTTTTCTCATGAAAAAAAAAAATGTTGAGTCTTGTCACATGATTTTTTTGGCCTTTACTGAGATGATCATTCTGTTGATGTGATGTGTTATGTTATTGACTTGCATATGTTGAACCATCCTTGCATCCAAGGAACAAATTCCACTTAGTCATGGTTAATGACTCTTTTAATGTGCTGTTGAATTTAGTTTGGTAGTATTTTGTTAAGAATTTTTTTCAGGGGCTAGGGTTGTGGCTCATTGGTAGAGCATATGCCTGGCATGTGTAAAGCACTATGTTCAATTCTCAGCACTGTATATAAATAAATGAATAAAAGAAAGCTCCATCAACATATTTAAAAAATATTTTTTAAAAAGAATTTACTTCATCTATGTTCATCAGGAATATTCTCTAGCCTGACATTATATCCTTAGTTTGATCCAAATCACAATTCATAAAATTATGAACCCAAAAGATTAGAAAGAATTTTAAACACTATTGGGCACACCACACCCATACTTTTACATCAGACTTGAATCCTTGTTATGGTTTAGATATGAAGAATCCACCAAAACTCATGTGTGAAATAATAAAAGATGTTCAGACTTGAAATGATGGTGTTTTGAGAGCCTCAACCTAATCAGTGCATTAATGTCTTGATAGGGATTAACTGGGTGGTAACTGTAGGTAGGTAGAGTGTGGCTGGAGGAGGAGGATCATTGGGGACTTGTCTTTGGGGTGTATGTATTTTGCCCTTGTTGAGCAAAACTCTCTCTTCTCCACTTCTTGGTACCATCTTATGAGCTTCTTTCCTCCTCCACACTCTTCTGCTATGATGTTCTCCCTTACCTCAGGCACTGA